CTGGATGAGGACCAGGACCAGGGGGATGAGGCTGAGTCACTGAGCCCCAAAGAGCAAGAAGAGGAAGTTGGAGGGGAACAGGCAGGAGCAGGTCCCAGGGGAGTCAGATGTAGAAAAAATTGCCCTCAACCTTGAGGAGTGTGCCCTCAGCTCTGTCAGCCAGGAACCCAGGGAGGCTGAACAGCCCTGCCCTGTTACCCATGGGGCCGGAGTGGCTGATGAGGTAAGAAAACGGAGGAAAACGATGGAGGAGAGGGCTGAGGGTGATGGAGTAGCCAGTAACCATCACACTGACATGCAGGCCCATGCCCCGCCTCCTACGCCTTCAGAGGGCCCTGAGGCCCAAAAGGATGAGAATGGGACAGCGGCCACAGCCAGCCAGGTGGGGCCAGAGCAAGGTGCCCCTGGGAGCCTGGTGGACCCTGACCCTGACACTACAGGAATCCCAGTGGATGACTCTGAGATGTCGTCAAGGCTGGGGGACTCTGCTGAACCCCCAAAGCCTTAGAGGTGCATCTCAGTCCTAGTCAGCCCACTGCAGGGGTTGTCTTGAGTCCCAGAGCCCTGTTGTTGGCTCTTCTCGGTGCCCCACAGTGCTGGCCTCGCCCTGGTGGTCACTGAAGCAGCCACCAGAGGGACTGAGGCCCTGCCCTCAGGGAAGGCCATGGCCTTCAGAACCCTCTTTACCTCACTGTGTCCTCCCCCACTGCCCTCTGAGCCCCATGTTTGTGAACAAACCCTAAGGGTCTCGGGGGAGGGGCCTCTTTTCTTAGTCTGGTGCCAAGTGAGGCCTTTTCCGAATAAACTCTTTAGACTTTGTTTTTTTGTGTGTGGACCATGGTCCTGTTTGGTTGCCTGTGGGTTCTGTGGGTTGGTTCTTCTAGACTTCCTTCTTGCCCCCAATTCAGAGCAGCCTGGCCAGTGCCACACCTTGGTGCTTTGCCCATGCAGAGCCTGGCAGACACTGGTTGCACAGGCACTCTGCAGACCTGTCCTAAAATATACGGCCTTCCTGAATACAAGGTTTGATTATCAGAACCTTAGCTGCTGCTACTTTGTCACCTGTTCAAGAACAGGGAACAAGAACTTGGGAACCGGTACATCATCCCCTTGGATGGGCGGGGGGCAGTACTGGGTTTACATGTCCAGACCAGTCCTTTCCATCTTTCCCCTCTCTACTGATAGGCCTCCCTGAGGTGATACCTTCCAAGGCCCCAGGTGGCCTGTCAGACTGGCATTCCACTGGAGCTTCTCAATGCTATGGCTTTTCCCTTCTAAGTCCCCAGTGCCAATCTGTCATGGAAGGAGTTCTGTGGAGACACAACTTGGTGCAGATGAGGTGTGGACCACCAAGCACAGCCTTGGTATCCTGAGAGAGAGCATTACAGCTCCCCTGAGCTGAACTGTCAGTACCGGCTCTCTTCTTTTTTCTTTTCTTTTTTCTTTTTTTTTTTTTTTTTTTTTTTCCTCGAGACAGGGTTTCTCTGTGGCTTTCGAGGCTGTCCGGGAACCAGCTCTTGTAGACCAGGCTGGTCTCGAACTCACAGAGATCCGCCTGCCTCTGCCTCCCGAGTGCTGGGATTAAAGGCATGCGCCACCACGGCCCGGCCAGTACCGTCTCTTGACAAGGTCACAACTATGCTGTGGAAGTCACCCTTTCAAGGTTAGCTTGGGGCTGTGGGCCCCTGCAACCTTAGCTGTGATTTGGCTCATTGGTAAAACTTCCATCATTAAATGGAAATAGATGTTCTGAGATGGATGGAAGGCATCTATCTAGTGGTTAACTTCAGCTGGGGTCACGCTTGGAGAGCCAAGGCAGCTTCAACTAGATGGCTGGGACTCAAGGTGATGGGGACCATCAGCACTTGACAGTGAGGAGAGGCCCTAGGAATGGCTGGCCATTCTGACTCACTTGGCCCCTGACTTTTAGGGAGAATGGTATAAAACAGGTAAATACAGCTTCAGTTCTGCACAGTTCAAAGGCAAGTACTGGGAGGCCTGGACCTAGGATGTGAGGCTGGCCTTACCTCAGAGGTCTACGGATACCGGGGGTGTGAGGGAGTTGAAAACAAAACCTGCTTCAAGTGCCAAAAATGCTCCCCAGACCCAATCTAAAGGCCAGCTGTGCCTCATCCGAGTGGCATCTAGTATTTGCTCTATATGCCACATGCTAGATACTGAGGTGGCAGGAAGGGCTGAGCTGTGTTGCCCAGAGGAACCTGAGTCAGGTAGGAGGTTCTTTACAGAGGCCATGACACCCTGGTCTCGGAAGAGTCTCCTGTCCCAGACCACGTGAGATGGGATGTTTAGAGCCCCCCTCCCCACACACACACTGCACCTTCTGCTGCCTGAGTTGGTCTTCTCCCTTGTCAGAATACCTTTTTCTGAAGAGGTGTTTGGTACATCTCAGACTGCTTGAGGTCAAGGCTTCCTGAGCTCACCCTTGCTTCACTCTCACGTACATTCACAAACACTTGAGCAGGCAGTGGGGTGCTTGACAGAATCTCCTGTTACCGCATTTGGCAGGAGAAAGCCACAGCTTCTCATTGGAGTCTCTGTGTCTCTCTCTCTCCTCTCCTCTCTCCCCCCTCTGTCTCTTTGTCTCCTCCCCCCATCTCTCTCACCCTTATCCACTCTATTCTTGTTCATTTCTGTCACACAATCCCTGCCTGCAGATAGAGCTTCTGCCGTGTCCTATAAACCCAGGGCCGTGTTACTCTGGACATTCAGATTCCCAGAAAGGACAGGTAATCTGGGACCCCACAGCTTTAGCAAGCCCCATAGGTGCTTTAAATATCTGAAAGATTAAGGGAAGGGGCTTGAGAATTAGTTCAGCAGTTAAGGGCACTTGTTACATCTGCAGAAGACCTAGGTTCCCTTCCCAGCACCCGCATGGAGGCTCACAACCATCCCTATCTTCTGACCTCTGGACATCAGGCATGCACAGTACACAATACGCACATACAGACATTCAGGCAAAAGACTCGTGTACATAATTTAGTGAAATAATTGGAAGGGGGAGGGACTACCACTGTGGAGACCTGCTTCCAGGTATGTCCTAACACTGAGTCCTTCTCTTGAGCAGCCTCCATCTTCTGGCTGCTGCTTTCCTCTTCCGGTTCACCATCTTGCTCCCCCCTGGGGAACAGGGTGCACCATAGGTCTGAGGCTTTCCAGTGGTGGCTGAAATGAACCAGACCACCCCTACCCCGGCTAGAGCCTGAGTCCAAGCTTGAGAGAGAGGTCTGACTGGGATGGCTAGCCTGAAGTGCTGTACTGTCACTATGCAGGATCCTTGTCATGGTAGGCATCCTGAAGGGAGATTTACCGACCGTGATCCTCTTGGGATTTGGGCAGCTTGGGTGTGCCCTTCGCAGTTCTTAAAAGATGGGGTTCTTCCTGGCCACGATCTGGCAGAGGAGTGAGAAAAAAAAAAAAAAAAAAAAGAGTCTTTCTTGTGCGCTGAAAGGTGCGTGTGTGTAACGCTCTGTCCTGGATAATTTTAACTCAGAGGAGGGCCGGAAAATGTTGCTGCGTTTTTTTCTTTCCAGCCCACGCGGCGCCCCGGCGGCCCAGGTGGGCCCAGCTGAATGGGGGGCTTGTGCGCGGGCGGGGCGGGGCCGGGCGGGGCGCGGGGCCTCGCGCCGCCCCCAGCCCCTCTCCCCACCCCGCCGCCCGGCCCCCACCCGCT